CAGGGTAGATTGGCAAAGGCCCTGGAGGTTTTTCGCCTTCCTCCGCAGCATTGGGCAGGGGTCGCTTGCTGAAGGATTCTCTGCGACTTGAAGTCTTTAAATCATGATTTGGGGACTTCAACAGCAGAGTCAAGAGAAAGAATTATTCCAGGAGTGGGTGGGTCAGCTTTTGTGGCCTGCATCATGCGGGAGGTCAGACTAGATGATCATAATGGTCTCTTCTGACCTTAAAGTCTATGAGTCTATGAATCTATACCTTAGCATAGGAAGTGTTCCAATGGCCCGACTCCAAAACCCTCCTCCTCCATCTCATCTCTGCAGCCAGGGTTGGCTCCTGTGTGGGACGGCTGCTGGGCATTAGAAGGACCTCGGTAGAGCCCGTCTTTTATTCTCCTCCCACCTTGCTGCAGTTATCCTTGACTCTACAGCAAAGGTTCTTGTTCTCAGCTGTATTGCTACTGGTGATTGTACCTGCCTCTGCTCCCCGACTGCAATGGGAACAGAGTAAGACTATGGCAAATGCCAGCCCTGTGAGCCATGGAAGCCCTGGCTGCACTACAAAAACAGCAGTTCAGCTCTTCTACTGTTAGCAAGGGGAGGGGGCCCTCACCTACACAGGCAAAACTTCGGGCTGTTTGGACTCACAGTGTCATTATCTCAGCCCAGTCCCACCCTCAGAGCTCTCATCTGCCACTTACCACGTGCAGGCCAACCACCCCCACCCCCGCTTTTCCTGGCAGCACTGGCCAGATGGTTACTTCAGTACATGAAGAACATGTTTTGCTATGCAAACTTGTACAGGCTGGGGCTGTAACAGGTTAGAAAAGACACAGGGACGGGCTTGCTCGTTTTCATGTACGGCAACTTCAGAAAAAAAACAGGTAATTCACTACAAGAACCTTGCTTTATTCTATTTTAACTTCTGCCTTGGTCCTAGGATTAGAGCCCTCTTCTCTGCTGTTCAAATGTACAAGATATCTGTATGACTGACACAGGTGTCGTTTGGGAATTTTTCATTCTGCTTGAAATAACAGAAGCCACAGTCTGATAGAACCATGTCCCCACATGTTATTTTACCCACACATTATACACATGCAAGTAAATAAGCTTTCAGTAAACTTCGATGTGTTTTATAATGTTCTGATGAAGCCACAGTGGTTCATCTGAGGCCCTAAATGACCTTTTGTCTTTTACTGCACTGGTTTTTGAACAGCAAGTTGAGGATACACCAAAGCACAATAATTTAAAGCATACTGGAAAAAATGTAGCAACATCTATATTTGTTTTAAACAGTTTGACAGTAAACACCAGAAAACCAGGCATACACATGATCCCATCAGTTAAACGATTTTTTCTTTGCATAGTGAATAGCTAATTCTCTGTTTGATGCGTTGCAGTGTTTTAAAGATACGGGGAAGAAAACAGTTTGCATCAAACTCATGTACAACATGGAGAGAGACCGTTCCGGTTTCTGAGCTACAGTTCAATCAGCGGACATGGCACAGTTTTGAGCTCATTGTGAAGATCTACCAAAGATCCCATAGAGCTCGATCAGTGACTTGCTGGACCTTCATGTCCACATGCAAAAGTTGAACAAGGAATGGTCTTTAGTTTTCATCTCTCGTCCCCTTTAAAAATCGGAAAAGATTGGTTTTGATGAAATATTTTCCCACTGCACAGGACAAGCTCCTTATCAACCTTTCACTTGAAAGCTAGAAGATGGCAAAGAGGTCCGGAAAGTCCAGCAGAGAGTACTGCAGGGCTATCTCCTTGACGCATGGCTAAAGGCCTGGTTTTAAAATCAGTTATAGTCTTTAAGGCTTCTATCTCCCCTTTGCTTTCATTGACAAAAGACAAAGAAGCACTTGATTAAGCTGTACTTCAAGACTAATCCATACTGCATGTACAATACCATTTGAAGAAAAAATACTGACAATATAGGACAGTGTTATACAATCATCTTCTGCACAATCCATTCTTTTGGCACTTTTCCTTCATTTGTTTACTGATGTCTGTAGTCACTAACCCCCCCCCCCCAAAAGAACCTTAATACATTTGTTTTCCATCTAGAAATCTACATAGAGTCAGAGTTGGTTTAAAGTCCTGTGGCATCTTTGGCAGATTCAGTCATTCACCTACTAAACGAAATCCCTAACCCCACCCCTTCTGGTCACAAGGAAGTGCAACAAGCAGTGCAATTACTTCACCAGCCACAGGGCCCCCACAGCTGAGCCCCATTTTAGCTTACAGGAGGGCAGTAAGGTGAGAGACGTTCACATTTTGGAAGAATTTGTACATGCCTTCACCTTCACGCAAACTGCAGGGAGTAGGTTCAATTCCTTAGAGAATGTTAGATCAGAAAGGAGGAGGATGCAAAACAATGGCCAAAATAGAGATATTTTTAATAAAATCTTTTGTTGTGTTCGTGTCTCCAGACATGTGGAGATCTTTGACTCCATCCATGGTTCTGGTGTCTCCACCAGAGCTGCTGTTTTCCTGATACTTCTCACATGGCATTAGCTGCGACAAAGGAAGTGTAAATTTGATCTTTGAATGCACGAAGGGCTGGGAACTTCTGTTGTTTGAAGTGCAATTGTATACAGTATCCTACTTTTTCCCCAAGCTTTTCTAGTAAATAATAAAAACACTGTTCCTGTTAAAGTAGTAAAACATTCCAACAGAGTCATCAACATTCCATCCACTCGCGTCTCCAGCCTCCCAAGCCAAGTGCACACGGAGCTGCACAAACCAGGGGTCAGATCCAAAGCCCAGCAGAGTTAGTGGAAAGACTCCCACGGACTTCCGTGGACTTTGGACCAGGCGGTATGGGCCCAATCCTGCTCTCACTGACTTCAAAGGGAGTAGGACTGCGCCTATTCTAGCAAACTGGAAACGGTCTTTCTTGATCTTTAAGCAACTAGATGGAGGATAAAATTATAAATATAAACTGTAGTTTTCTTTTAAGAAAGGTTGAAATTAATGGACTAAAATCCTACACCATATTTTGTGGACAAGTACCCCTTGGAAATATTAAAACCAACCCTGCCACATTATTTAAAGATGCTACTGCATACGAGTAATAATGTCTCATAAAAAAAGTGACAGATTTTTAGGATCCACAGTTATTCCACAAGAGGATCCCAAAAATCAAAGGCCTCCTTAAATAAATACTGATACAACGGACCATACATTGTAAGGGCTTTTCTATGATGGTCCGGACCTGCACCCACAATCAACGGGAGCTTTGTATTAATTTCAATGGGATCAGGGCCTTGGATTAATCATGTAACAGTTTGCAGAGTAGGGCCCTTTGTGTGAACGACCCGTAGATAATAAAGTATGTAACAGACATTCTAGCCTGGTTCTTTTCTATCAAGCTGTTAGCTTGAGGAACTGTCCTAACTGAGGCAATGGCTCCTGCACTTCCATTGAGACTCAGATTTAAAAAAGGAAATTAACACATGAAATTAACACACAAAACCCAAGTGTTAAAGTGACCTTTAAAAAAACCACACAGAAGGACACTGGCCTAGGTGGGTAGGACTCAAAATCTCATTCTAAGGAAAGATACATTCAGCTTGTGAAACCCACATAAAGTGAGTTTCTCAAAAGCTCTTTTGTTTTAAAAAAAGCCAGCAGCCCAGGCCTAGAACAAGCCAAAGTAATTGAGTAAGGAAGCCTGTTTCAAGATATTCACTTGTGCGGAGCGGGGTGAGGGGGATGTTGAAAGAGAGACTGGAAAAAAAATCATGAATACACTTGGATAGTGTAAAAAAGCTTTTGCTCGGAACAAAAATAAAGGAAATTCAGGATTAAAGACTGTTGTTCCATCCTTAATGTACTCTGCTGTTCGCAAGTACTGAGGAGACCAAATTTGACCATCAGTAACTGTGACCCATGCAAACCCACTGACTTCAATTAAGTCAAAGCCTCGGCAGTTTCCTTCAAATTCACTGCTGGCGTAAGTGAGTGCAATGCAGGTCAAGTCACTGGAGTCGTATCAGCTTAAAATCAGCTGTGCATTTGGCAAGTGTGTAACTAAGGGCAGAATTTCCTCTCCAAAGAGGATACAATAATACACAACCCATGAGCTACAACAGTTAGGCACAGCAGTCCAGTCTAAGAGAGTGCAGAAAGCCAGCATCAACTTCCTGGCTTCACATATTAGTTGAATAGCCAGTAGTTTTTGTGTGTTAATACGAGATATATATTATGTCATCATTACTACAAGATTTCTCAAAATGAAAGTGTCGATCTGTTGAAATATAGTATTTAAAATATATAAATTTTATCCATTAAAATATAAGATTTCTTTTTTTAAAAAAAATCCAGTTTAAAGCAGTAAAAAGCTTCAGGGTCCTTGTAGTTATATGAATAAGTGGCAAGCCGGAGACTAAACCAATTCCTTCGTTGCCAGGAAGGCAAGCCATTCATCATCATTTAAGATGGAAGGAGAGAGCAAAAGACACGGCAGAAACAGATGAACAATTAAAATCCTTTTACATCAACCTCTTGTATGCTGCATTAGCAGAACCTCCCTGCACTCCACAGGTCAGCTGCGAGTTTCACCAGCTGCTTGGTGTACTGCTGGTGCAGTGTGTGTCGGGTAGCTCTTTAAAATGCCAGTGTCACCCGGTATAAGGAGCAACAAGATATTAAATTGGCAGACTCACGTTTCTGAGGGGGGAAAAAAATCCACTGAAAGAACAGAAGATCCATCGTCTACAAATTCAGGATTCAAAGAGAGACATTTTTGAGCCCATTACTGGTGGTAATCGAGAAAATTATTTCACTCAGTGAAACAAATGTGAAGACAGGCTTGAGGTGAAAGGGAGAAAAGCAGAGGTTCTTTGGGAAGGAAGGGCACCCATTAACAGTGAGCATGGACATTTATCTTACCTAATGCACTGATCTATATTCCTTGCAATTGGTCCAAGAGAGAAAAACGAACACTCTCCATGACACAGGCAGACAGACAGACTTCATTGGGCTGCTTAAAACATCAGAGTGATTTGAATCAGATTGTAGCATTAAGCTCAGCAGTGAAAGCCTGGTGGGAATTCTCACTTGGAAAGGGCTTCATGTGGTGATTGCCGCATGTGGGGTGGAGAACACGCTCTCCACTGGATAGGGTCCTGGACTAGTCAAGAGTCCTGGGTTCTATTCCCAACTCTACCACTGACCCTGGGCAAGTTGATAGGCTGAAGTGTCAACTAACCGGATGCCACTGTTTTGGAGAGCCCCGTTTGGGAGATCTAGGACCAAGAATTTTAAAAGTGCCGAGCACCCCCAGCTTCCAATGACTTCAACTGGAATGGGAGGTGCCCAAAATTAGCAGCCATTTTGAAAATTTTAACCTTTGTGCCTCAGTTTATACATCTCTAAAGTGAAGATAATGGCTACTTACTGCTACCAAACGCTTTGAAACCTCTAGGTAAATAGTGCATTAAGTGCTAAGTAATACTATCACTGCAGTGCACACATTCCCCAACCCAACCATGGCTGGTTTATACCTAGGGAATGAGCAGTACACGGGGCTCCCATGCTGCCAATGTCGAACTGATTCATTTGGGTGGCTCTCTTCCCTACTGATGCTTCTCTTCCTAAATGTCCAAGATGAGCAAAACCACGTTGATTGGTTTCACCTTCGTGCCATCCCAAGAGAGTGGGTTGGAAGTATTCACTTTGCCTTTTCTTTATAGCTAAGTTTTCTGTGATATTACCAACATCGATTAACTAGTTTTCAACAATGCATTTTCCGTAAACTCCTTGGTTTGCAGGTTTCCTACATTTCATTTGGTCTCATTAAAATAACCTCTGATCTACGCTGTCTAATGTATTTAATTTTTTGTGCCCCTGGAAGGTGTTACTGAATCGTATCCACTATCGGTGTATCCACTTGCTCCTTAGGACACAAAGGAGAAAGCATGGCTCACAGCCTCTTTCTTAAGGGGTCCCATTGTTACAAGGTTATCACAAACCAGGGAGTTTATATCACTATGGTCTAACTTATGATCCAGTCATAGTATCTGGCTGCAGCATAAGGGAGAAAGTGAAACAGGCACAGGATTGGGATGTTGGAGAGAAACAGTCTAGAAGATTTATGTAAATGTGTTTTCAATCCCTAATTTCTGTCTGACATGATGCAGCAGGCTGGACATTGGATTGACAGGGTCCTTAAGATTGGGCTCCTATACTTGGTATCCCATTGCCTTAGTAAGATGGTCACCACCAGCATTTAACTCAGAAATGTCATCTACTATGTTTAAGTACATTTCAACGTATACATGGTGAGGATCAGTTGTCTTTCAGAGTGATGGACAAAACGGGACATGTGATTTTTTGTTTTTAACCTGCAAGGACCCTGGCTTCAGCATGAACTGGATCTAAAATGTCTTACCATCAAAAAGAAAAAAAAAAAATTGTGGGTGGGAGTATGACAAGAAAATAGTTCCTCCTATAGGATATTTTGATAAACCTCATGTCCTCTACAAAAGGCAACATTGTTCCTAAGTGCTACTTTGCACCTGTAGTGCTCTTTGACCGCAAGAGATATTGATCTACTCTTCCTTTCCGCCTATCCATTGTCCTGTTTTCACTGTCAAAAATTCGCTGCAGTTGTAAGGCCAGCCTCCTGTCTTCCTCCTCCTGCTGCAGCTTCTGTTCCATCTCCCTCACTAAAGGATCAGCTGTGGCCAAGCCCATCTCGCCAGCTGTCTGCCTCAGTCTTTTAACCGAACCATTCTGTTCCAAGTGCTTTGTTTTACAGTGTCTCTTTCGTCCTCGTCTCAGTGAAGGGGGCTGTTCGCCAATAACATTTTCAACAGAATTGCAGGTACCATTTTGTACGTTGATCAATTCACTATTGTTCAGGTATTTAAGCTGCTTTTTTCCTGCTGTCTTGACAGAAACCCCTAGCATACTGTTCCCTGGCAGTGCTGGGTTGACTCCAATTAGTCTTCTGGTCATTATTTTTGCCCCAATGCTAAGACAAGATTTGTCCAGATATGAATTTGTTTTTACTTCAGACACATCTGAAATTTGAGTGTTCAGAGAGGTTCCATTTGATCTTGTATCTAGTTCAGAGGAACTGCCATCCACTGTTAAGGCCTGTGAACGGTTTTTCTTGTTACCAGTCCTTTCGAGCTTCACTTCGCTGATCGAAGGGAAATAATCTAACTCTGTGTTCGTGTGTGCCGCAGAACCAGGTGGAATTTGATCATTTAACATTCGTGGCTGCTCTTTATTGGAGTTAGCAATGTCAGGAACCAGAAAGTCCTCTCCGGGCTCTGAAGCCAGAGATGTCAGGGTAGCTTTACAGAGAGTCTTTTTAATCTGGCGCTCCTGAAATATTTGCTCCCATTTTTTCAGGATTCTGGGACTAGCTTCATAGGTGGTTGGTTTCTGCAGGCTTCGGTTCAGGTTCCTTGGAGTAGACTTTATAATCAAAGGACTCAAGACTTTGCCGTCGGGAAGCCTCTTGGGAGGAGTGCATGGTGAGCAGACAATAGGTTTGAAATGATTGAGCTCTTCTGAGATACTGTCATTGCTCTCAGGGCTGATGGATCGCTCCGGCTTGTGCAGGATGGAGAGTGACGAAACCGAGTTGAAAACCAGACGCTTTTCTGCTGTCAAATCTGGGGCAGAGAGGCAGCGATTGTTTTGGGTTGATGACAAAACTCCAACGATGGGAGTTGACGCACTGGTCACGGATGGAACCTGTAAAACAAGTCATCGGGATTAGAAAGTTTGCCATTGTGGTGATCTAAACAGAGGGGCCAGAGTAAGAGTGAAATGGATGAATCTGCGAGAGAACAGAAGATGCTGCAAATCACCTAAACAATTAACTAGACCACTAGTTCCTAATCTTTCAGGCAACTGTACCTGTTTATCAGGCCACGATGTCTGCTGTACCAGCCAGCAGCTTCAGCCACCTTCTTCCTCTCAGGCCAGCGACTTCCTTATCCCACCACGTTAATAACGAGCACTAAGTCCAGCCTTGGGGCTAGGCCCTGCAGTCCTGCTTGCCTTCCATTCAGCTGTGCACTGTCTAATCTGGAATGCAGTCTGGGGTGCTCCAGATCCTGCAGTAAGTCAGACTAAGCAACTCTGGTTGGTTAGAGCACATTGAAAGGCCCACAGGTAACCAGGGTGCACCGGAATCCAGCACAGCCTGGGTCCCAAATTCATCCTTGGCAGGATGGCTGTGCTTGGGACATCAAAAGAATGGAGAGTAGCTAGCCATAGTGGTGGCAAAAGCTCAAAGCACAGGACAAAGAGAGGTTGATAACCATGGAACTAGACTAACTCAAAGAAAATTTACCAATGGTCGTGATGGATTCTCCATCACTGGCAATTTTTAAATCACGGTTGGATGTTTTTCTAAATGATCTGCTCTAGGAATTTTTTTGGGGGGGAAGTCCTGTGTTATATAGCGAGTCCGACTAGATGATCACAATGGTCTCTTTTGGCCTTGCAATCAATGAAGCTATGACATCGCCGTTTACAGCAAGTACACTCAGACATTTTCTGGTCATCAACTGATTTATAAAAAATGGTTGATCCAGGATTTAACACACTCTTACTGCAAAAAGCAAAGAGAAAAGGCTGGCCAGATGACCCTGAACAGGGTCAGTTAAACAAATCCTCCTGTGCATTATCGGCACACAAAGTGTGGTTTCCAGTTTGCTAGTGATTAAACAACCAGGGAGCTGGCAGCAGACACTCCTTAAGAGCAGCACGGCCAGCCATGCTCAAAGCCATTTCCAACACTGTCACATTTAGGAGCGTGAGGGCATACAACTACAAATAATGCAGAGTAAAAACTACATATACACAAATGCAAAGACAGTTTTCCTTTTCAAAGTCAAGGTGATTTTATGCAGTGGTTAGCCCCTGGCACTGGAATGGCTTTTCTTTGTTCAGCTTAGAGAGGTGATTTTAACAAGCTTATGTCTCTGGAGTTAATACAGGTTGCCAAACATCCTTTTAGTGGAGCACTTGTTCTCCGGGAAGGTCCACTCAAAGTCTTCTTAAAAAAAGATCTGGGAGCTGGGAAGACAGATTACTTTTACAGTGCCTCATTCTGGACTTGTTCCAACTCCCATCAATTTCAATGCGAGTTAGATTAGGTCAGGGGTTCTCAAACTTCACTGCACTACGACCCCCCTTCTGACAACAAAAATTACTACATGACTCCAGGAGGGGGAACTGAAGCCTGAGCCCACCCAAGCCCTGCCGCCCTGGGTGGGGGAGCCAAAGCCCGAGCCCCCCACCCCAGGCGGGGGGGGGGTGGGAGGGAGAAAGGAGGGGGCAAAGTCAAAGACCAAGGGCTTCAGCCCCAGACAGGGGCCTGTAACATGAGCCCTGCCGCCTGGGGCTGAAGCCCTCAGGCTTTGGTTTTGGCCCCAGGCTCCAGCAAGTCTAACGCCAGCCCTGGCGACCCCATTAAAACGGGATCCTGACCCATAGTTTGAGAACCACTGGATTAGGTCATCTAAGAGGGTCCTTTTTTAGGACCATGGCCCATGACTGTGACCTCAGAGAGGGCTACAGTACTTTGGACCTTGTCAGAAAGATTATTTAGGTCACCTGAGCAGGACCTACTGAGGATCTCCCCATCTTGCAAGCAGGGTTCCCCACCAAATGGCTATCCCAAAGATTCCTTAGGCTTCCGACAGTTACTGGATTCTTAGCATGATTTTTTTTCCCCACTTGTGGAATGAAGATGAAGCAGAAGCTGAAGAGAAGGGGATTCAGTGCAGAAAGTGGATAATCCCAGTAAAGGAGACAGATGCAGGCAGAAGATGGATGGTTCCTTATTCCTTCTTGAAAAAAGGGAAGCTCTGGGGAGAATGAGGTCATGAAGATCTCTCGCTGGACAAGGAGGTGTGGAGGAAGAGTGGAGCTTCCCTTTGGTGACTGGAGGTGAAGGCTTGGATGGATGTAAGGTGCAGTGGGAGGGAGGAAGACTCTGGAGCAAGGGCTCAGCCAATGGCTGCAGGGGACACCCCATCTCTATGCAGGAAGACTCAGCAGAGAGTGGAGGGAAGGTAGGAGAAGAGCCAAAGGGCCACAGGTCTCATAAGAAGGCCCTACCACTGAAGCCCTTTGAAACATGCTACATCCCCCACATCTCCTACCTTGACTGGGCTGGGTTTCCTGAAGTGGACATGAGGCACCAGATACTTGGTGTGACAGGACTAAGTAACACTGACTGAATCCACTGTGTTGTATGATGCTGCTGCCAGGCACCAGGAGCCTGCAGGCCAGAGAGGCAGAAAATGGCCCAGTACGTGGAGAGTAAAAGCCCAGAGTGACATCAATCAAATTGCTGCTGCTGGGGAGACCAAATCCTGGGACTGATGGTGCTACAAAGGCCTGAAAGTCTCAGAAATCGTGCAAAGGAAGACGTCTGCCAGATGCGCAACACCAGCCCAGTAATTAGGCTGGAACAGCAGATGGACATTTGCCTGAGAAAATCATGGGTTGGATTTTCAGAGGTGCTTAGTAACCACAACTCTTACTGAAGCCCATCTGTGCCATAGGCACTCAGCACCGCTGGAAGTCAGGCCTCCTGTTCTCCCTCTGCTGGGCCTGTAGCACCAGTTCATTCATAAAAAGAGCCCCATTGACTTCAGCAAGAGCAAGACCAGACCAACTGTTCCTAGAGAGGCAATGTTAATCAGTGATGGTGCACAAGGAAGGAGACAGAGACCAGGTCAACAATGATCATTTCTGCTCCACTTTAAAACTGATCTGCAAGGGGTGTATGGCGGGGGGTGGTAGAATAATTTTTCGCTAAAATGCAGAGATTAAAAAGTAGTTTGGGGGTGGGATGGAGACAGTTTTTTTCAAGCTTGTGAGAGATTTGTTTTTTTAAACAACCGGTGAATCAAAGAAAAAGAAATTATTTCAAAAAGAAATTTTCGAAAAGAAATCTGATTTACAAAAAAGGAAATGGAGTACCCTTCGAATTCCCTGTTATCACATGATGCTAGCAAAAAAGTGTGTGTGTTGTCCATTTTTCCGTTCAATTACTTCCAACCTGGACTGGCAGTCAGCTCCTGCTGTAAGTCGTAAGGGACTGATTAACATCACACCTCTGCTGACAACAATTTTTTTGACCGATAGCTAGATGATCTCCAAGTAACTGCCACTGTACAGCCGTCAACAACATTTCTATGAAATGTACAAACTTCTCCCTCACTGGATGGAATATTTCCAAAAACCGCTGGTACCTTTGTTCTGTTGGCTGGGGCTGATCTCTGCCTGCTCTTTGATCGATCTCGAATGGTGTCATTGCAACTCTGACTCCTTTCCAGTTTGGAGGTTAGGTTCCTAAAAATCAGGGATATGTAAAACAGACTGGATATTAACTTAAAACAGCAAATTTCATGGCACCATCAAGCTGGGCACATAGCTCATTCTGCTTATGTGCGCCAGTTACCTGTGTCATGCAGGAGGTAGAGGTAGCCACCAAGACAGAATCTAGCTTGCACAGACACCTCCCAACTACCAGAGCAGGGAGAACTTGGAGGGAGATTATGACTGATCTGTTTCCTGGGCCACTGCAACAACACACTGCTCTACACCCAGGGCTTATGGCAAAGCCACAATTATGCAGGACATTACAGAAACCCTTGTCCTGTCCTACCCAATCTCCCCCACTTGGTACACTTGATGCAACCAATGAGAGTAAAGTTATATAAGCAGCTCCTTGGAGCAGGGGCCAGCTCTTGGCATTTGTGCTGTAAAGTGCCCTGCCCCTTTTGAGAACTGTATAAACAAACGTTTTTATATATGAACCTACCATGTAGATCTTTATAGAGTACAGAGACCGTAAATGTAATGAATTTTACAAGACAGCCTTCAAAGGACACATACCCAATGCATTAATCCTCAAGAATTCTATGGCAACTGTGGGACAAATTGGTCCTATTCACGATCAAAGATTTAGAAAAACTAACCTATGAGAAAAGGTTAAAAAAACTGGACATGTTTAGTCTTGAGAAAAGCAGACTGAGGGGTGACCTGATAAGCCTACAAATACATTAAGAGCTGTTATAAAGAGGATGGTGATTGTTCTCCATGTCCACTGAAGATAGGACAAGTAGTAATGGGCTTAATCTGCAGCATGGGAGTTTTAGATATCAACTAGAATTAATAGTTAAGCACTGGAACAGGCTTCCAAGGGAGGTTTGGAATCCCCGTCATTAGAGGTTTTTAGAAAAGGTTGGACAAACACCTGTCAGGGATGGTCCAGGTTTACTTGGTCCTGCCTCAGCGCAGGGGGCTGGACTTGATGACCTCTTGAAGTCCCTTCCAGCCCTACATGTCTATGGATTCTATGATTATATTTTACCAATTATTCAATACTAAGTTTTCTAAAACAGCAATAACTTATTTTGGGCTGTGGTGACTGTTTGAATTCAATTTAAGTACTTAAGGGACGTTTAGAACAAAAAAATGAATTGTGCAATATTTATGTTTGTAATGGACAGCCAGAGTGAACTAAGTCTGCTTCTTACCCTGTCAGGAAGGCAAAAGAATAGGTGCTGCCTTTGGAGACAAAAGCCGACCGATGTGTGTGTTTGCTCTGGAATGGTTCTTCATTCTCTGAATCCGAGAGGCGTTCTGGAAACTGAAGTTAATAAAGGAAGAATCAGCTAGCATACACATTAAAGTCACTCAGGAAATAGTTATTTTTCCTTGGGAAAATGTTTCAAGTCTCCAAAAGCCCATGTAGTGGCGATATTTGAAGTGTGTAAAGAACAGAATGCGAGTGCCAGCTAGTGTATAGTGTCATAGATCTATTAACTTCCCTTGAGCTAGAGCAATTTATGTCAGCTGAAGAGCTGGCCCAATGTTTTTGCCACTTGGGGGAAACAAAACAAAACAAAAACAAACAAAAAGAACTCTCATGTGCAGCTGTGGTTCAGTGAGGAACATTTCAAAATGCTACAGGACTCAGAGCCCATAGTAATTCATCCAGCAAACAATACTAAGGGAGCAATAGTTTGATATCAGCATAACCTTTTATCAACCATAAACTATTATATGGTCCTTTCCACACAGTCTATGACTGATATGGGCAAGAGCCAAAGCTAAACAAGAAGTTACTCTTTACCATGCGGACATACAGTCCCCGGATGACTCGTACTGTATATATTTGTAGATGTGTATTTCTACAAGTCTGTATGTGTGTGAGAAAGAGAGAGAGGATACATGCAATGGCATGGTTTGCTATACAGGTTTTATCACCACGTGTTTGAAATGGCCACGTTACTCATGAGTGGGGAAGCCAGAAGCGAGTTAAACAGGCCACTCCAAATGGGAGCCAATAATTCCTTCATTCCACATCATTCTGTGTTCCAAAGATGTCACCTGTAGTACAGAGAAGCTATTTTAGGAATGCTTTAGAGAGTTTTTAAAATGTTACTGGGACTATTTCTTGTATTCCTTCCCCCTAAAGCCAGGTGCCTTAGTCACTATGGAATCCAAATGTACAATGCACAGAAGAGTTATTCAACCCCCTAAAAGATGACCTAGGGTAGGTTTTCTATAGCTAAAAATACCACAACTGTACAGTCTGGTATCTCAGGTCCTTCTAGAGCTAGAAAGAAATCAAACAAGTTCTATTGGGAAGCTTCAGCTTCATAAGAATGGCTATACTGGATCAGACCAAAGGTCCATCTAGCCCAGTATCCTGTCTTCCGACAGTGGCCAATGCCAGGTGCCCCAGAGGGAATGAACAGAAAACGGGTAATCATCAAGTGATCCATCCCCTGTTGCCCATTCCCAGCCTCTGGCAAACAGGCTAGGGACACCATCCCTTCCAATGACATATAGCTCCTAGTTTCAACTGAGAGACATTAGATCATTTTTTACATCTAGAAAAGTGATGAATGATCCAAGACTGAATCCTGTCAGTCCTGGGTAGCTTTAATGCTATATCTCGGGTGGGAACAGGGTAGTTTTTACTTACACATTCTTGATTCATTTTAAGCATTAGTGGTTCATCTTTTTTTTGCTGTTCTTCTATTTTTCTTTTTCCCACTTCCATGTCTTCTAGAATTAGCTTGTGGATCAGATCCTCAGACGTTTTTTCCTCTTGTAATTTTTCTTCCCTCAACTAGCAGTAAAATAAAGGAGACAATATACTTGAAATAGGCTGTTAATACAGGCAATGTATTTGTTGAATTAAACATGGAACTGGGAGCCAGAAAATCCTGTATTCTAATCCTGGTTTCTTACAATGATTCACTGTAGGAAAATCCCTTAATCCCGCCACATGCCTCAGTTTCCCCATCCATAAATAGGGCCATCACTTACTTCACAGGAGTGTTCTGAGGACAAGTTTTTGAGAAGTTTTTTGACACCAACACACACAATTAAGTACCAAGGCTATTACTGTCTTTACACACCTTAAACTGCCCGGGGCGTTGTTAGGACCAATATTTGACACAGCCTTTTTCCTTGCATCTGTTTGTAAAGCATGACAAATAGTTCCATCTACTTTAAGACAGCCACTTATACGTGATCCTACGACAAAGGTGCAATGTGGAAACATACAATACACACGCACACACACAGAACCCTCCCTCAAGCAAAGATTTCTGTTTTGATCTTCAAAGGGGTTATAATGAAGTGTATTCAGTTTGTTACACACACTGACAGTATCCTTTCTTCGCCAAGGTTACAGCGCTGCCTCCCACACCCAATATTGGGAGTTTACAGACAAATGTTGGCAGGAAGCGCTTAGTGCATCAACACCACAGATTGGGGTGCCCAAAATCTGGGGTGGGGGAGCATTTGATATTTAATCAATCAATAGTAAGTATTTGCCGATGTGATCACAGTACATGTTCTTTGAAGCCATAAGGTACTGCAGCTCTCCAGTGCTTTGATTTTCTATTCTCACGCTTCCTTCTCCCGAGTGCTCTCCTCCTTCCCTGCTACCACCTCTAAATTTGGTCTAGGAGAATATGAAAATCAAGCTTCTGAGCAGTGAATATTTCCCCCCCGGTTTCTAGACTTTTCCCACTTTTGGACTATCTCCAGTGCTTTCAACTTCACCAGTATCTTGGTCCATAGAGATCGGCTCCAGAAAAAATCCTGAGGGGTTGTGATGATTTGTTCATCATTAAACAGAACTGTTAATTCCAACGACAACGTCTTAACTGCCATATTTTCTGGTTCTCCTTTAGTCATTAGTTTGTTGCGCATCCTCTCTTGGCTAGCAAGGTGTTTTTAATTTACAGAACAAATAAAATTAGTGAACAAACACGCTAAAAATTGTAATGACTGCAAAAATACTTTTGAGTGAAGAACTGTATTTTTAATGTAGAATATTTCATAACTTACTAATACATAGTATTTAAACTAGTGTAAAGAAGTGTGCTAAATACTTTGGAGATATGCACAAAGACCCTGCCTTGAAGAGTTTACAATCTATGGCCCCAATCCTGCAAGTGTATCTGTGCACGCAGAATCCAAATGAAGTCGGAGAGCTCCATACAGAGTTCTCATTACAGGATCTGAGCCTAGAAAGGCAATGTACAAACACTGGAGGGGGGTGGGGGAAGGGGAGTGAAGAAAGGAGGGCAGAAACAGGAGCAAAAATGGTATGACCAAATGCTGAAGTTGGGGTTGAGGGTACCTTCTTTCGATGCATCGTTTGTTAAGAGTAATACAGAATCTCGCTACAGGACTCGTATCAAGTCTTTACTCAGTAATGGGAAGTGTGAATTAAAGGGAGTCTGCTCTATTTGTTTTACTATGGGGGACACAATCTCAGAGGTTCACGACTCCTGTATACAATGATTTAAGTAGGGGTAAATAAACCAGGATTTTTAAAAGTTATTTCTGGCAGTCTGTCCAAAATCCTCCCCACATCTTCCATCCCTTCTCCCCCAAAATTTGTAGATTTATGGAATTTGTGGAATTATCTATTTGTCTTCTAATCTATACGATTATATTTGGATTTTATTTTAATGGCCAGGTACAGTAAGACACACAAGAATGTTTAAAAACGTATCAGCTTACTGAAACAGACAGTAAGAGGTGCAAACATAACCTCCGTCAACAGAAAACACTCAGGGCTATCTTCTTTGGATATTAAGAACAGCAGAGGTCTACAAAAATCTGACAAAAAGAAAAAAGCATCTCTTGTTGACAAAGACTTTTTGTGCTCTATTTTGGAGACCATATATATCTCCCGCAAACCAAAGGGTTAACGTTGGCATCCAATAACATATTCGTACAAAGGTAACAGAGCTTTGTTTCCATTTGACTTAGAAGTATGCAAAGTTTGCCCTACAGTATAAAGTTTGGAAGCCAATAGCTCCAAATTTGGCTTGGAAGTCCATGTACCCTTCCCCAGATAGACCCATTTGGATGTAGTAGCTTCTGCAACTAGCAGCTCTCTCTAACCTGGAAGGGGGGGAAAAGGGGAAAGCAAAAACAAAAAAACCCACCACCAGAGCAGAACCAACCCGTATTCTAATTAATGGAAGATTGCCTGGGAATTTAGGCCCCAGATTTTTGTTTGAATGCAAACAGTCCAGGGAAGGCATGAGGAAAAGAAAAAGCGAAACAGACGATCTTACTTGTAACACCCAACTTGTGAGAAGTAAAAAGAGTAGATTCCTAGAAGTTTCAGTTTTGATAATCTCCGATGTTATTAGTAATTATAAGTAACAGCTCTTATTTTAACCTAGCTACCCACCCTTTTAATATCCCAGAGGCCTTGATCACTATGCTCTGAGCTTCAGAGAATAATCCCTTGCAAGTAATCCGAAGGAAAATGGTTTGTTTGTTTTTTAAGGTAATCACATTTCTCGGTATCAGAAATACTATTCCTATAGGCTCAACATATATTTCCAGAATCTGTGAAACTCACATTTGACATCTTCTCTTCCTTGAACCTGTCCAGGTTTATGTAGTCTTTAAAGGTGCCCTCTTCTTAAGGGGAAACTGCTCTGTCTACCCCGCTGCTGAAAAGTGACATGTCAGCACATGCCCCAGGTAGGAGTTTCCCTACTGATTACAGAGTTTCCAAGGAAAAAACTGTTGTGTGAAGAGAACTGGATGCAACTATGGATTTACTCAATATTACAAGGCCTCCTCACCTCAGCAAAATACAAGTGCCCAAAGCAAGTAGCTCAAAACAAGAAAATCATTTTTTTTTTTTTGCTTAGTAAGATGGAAACCAAATATCTAACTTTACAGTGTGCTACTTTATCCTGAAACAAAGTCATCCATACTGACAAGAATAGTATTTTACTGTATTATCTAAATCTAATCAACACTCTTCAGTAAAATAGACGGAGGGAGGGAAGAAAGAAGGGTTAAACTAGGGTCAATATTTAGACTTTCTAAGGTGCTTTATATCTTAAAGAAAAATGTAAACACTTTAAACAATCATTACTCACACTTATAAGGAAGGTAAGCAAGTATCCCCATTTTACAGGTAGGGAAACTGAGACAAAGGTTAAGTGACTTGCTCTAGATTACAGAGGGAGTCTAAGGGTATGTCTACACTGGCAGAGTTACATCGCTGGCAGTTATATTGCCGCTCAGAGAGTGCTGAAGGGAAACCGCTGTTATGTGTTCACACAGTCAGCTGCCTGCGCAATAGCATGTTCACACTTGTGGCACTTGCAACGGTATCTGGAGCGGTGCACTCTGGGCAGCTATCCCACAGAGCACCTCTTCCTCTTCTGCCGCTAAGAGTTGTGAGAAGGTGGAGGGGATCGCGGTGCACCCTGGGTCCTGTCCCAATGTCCCGTGATGCATTGCTTCGCATCCCAGCAATCCCTGTGCTTCCGTCCACATTTGGCGCCATCTTTCAACTGTTTGTGTACTGCGTGCTCTGCCTCTTCTGTCTGCAGGAATGGATCCCACACTGCTGACCAACATGCTGTTCGCTCTCACTAACACGTCACGAGTGGCAGTGGAGATATTCCTTAAACTACAAAGGCAAGAGGAGTGCGACATTTATCTTGCCACGCATTGCAGCTACAACACGAGATTGCTTGTGGCATTCACGGAGGTGCTGACCACAGTGGAACGCCGCTTTTGGGCTCGGAAAACAAGCACTGAGTGGTGGGATCACATCCTCATGCACATCTGGGATGACGAGCAGTGGCTGCAGAACTTTCGGAAAGCCACATTCATGGGACTGTGTGATCTTGCCCCAGCCCTGAGGCACAAGGACACGAGAATGAGAGCTGCCCTGTCGTTGGAGAAGCGTGTGGTGATTGCACTGTGGAAGCTGGCTACTCCAGACTGCTACCGATTGGTTGCTAACCAGTTCAGAGTGGAAAAGTAGACTGTTGGAATCATGTTGATGGAAGCGTGCAGGGCCATTAATTGCATCCTGCTCCGAAAGACCATGACTCTGGGCAACGTGCATGACATTGTGGATGGCTTTGCACAAATGGGCTTCCCTAACTGTGGAGGGGCGATATTCCAGTTCTGACACCAGAACACCTAGCCACCGAGTACATTAACTGGAAGGGGTACTTAATGGTTCTCCAGGAACTTGTGGATCACCGTGGGCATTTCACGGACATTAACACAGGCTGGTTCGGAAAGATGCATGACGCATGCATCTTTCGGAACACTGGCCTGTTGAGGAAGCTGCAAGCAGGGACTTTCTTCTCGGACCAGAAGATCACTATAGGGGAAGTCAAAATGCCCATTGTGATCCTGGGAGACCCGGCCTACCTCTTAATACCGTTGTTTATGAAGTCATGCATGGAGCACCTCGACAGCAGCAAGGAGCATTTCAACAACAGGCTGAGCAAGTGCAGAATGACGGTTGAGCGTGTTTTTGGCCATTTAAAAGCCTGTGGGTGCTACCTATATGGGAGGCTGGACCTGGCCGATGACAATATTCTGATGCTTATAGCCACGTGCTGTACGCTCCATATTTGTGAAGGGAAGGGTGAAAGCTTCATTCAGGGCTGGACCGCAGAGACTCAGCACCTGGAGGCTGAATTTGAACAGCCGGAGCCCAGGGCTATTAGAGGGGCGCAGCGCAGGGTCATAAGGGTCAGGGATGCCTTGAGGCAGCAATTTGAAGCTGAAAGCCACTAATATTTGTTGCTATGCTCAGGAGTGCAGTGC